CCGCCGGGCATCGTTCACCCTCCAGAACGGCAAGGATGCCATCGCACTGAAGTAAGTGGGCATATGTGGAACTAGTACGCGTCGTCCTGGTGGCTCATCCGGTGTTCACGTTCCACAGTGCCAAGTTCCAGACCTTGACCGCCGACTCCTCTTGCCAGGAAGGTGAGGACGCATGCGTGGGCGACAAGTTCGCCCAGTGTGTGAGTGGCAAGTTCGTGACCCAGGCGTGCGCCGGTGGAACAATGTGAGGATCGCCACACATACAGTGCTTTGATGGATTGTCTCACCGCTTTGTATAGCTGTGCGGCGCTGCCTCTTGTCAACTCCGCTGGGACCTCGATCACTTGCACAACCGCCGCCGATCGGGACGCTCGTATCGCTGCCACTGGGGCCACTGCGGACAGCTCATCGTCCGCCTCAAGTTCAGCAGCAGCATCCTCGTCCGCGGCTGCGACCTCCGCCGCTGCGGCGTCTTCTTCTGCTGCGGCTTCAGCGACCTCCTCTGCTGCTGCTGCAACTGGCACCGCAGCCACGGGTAGCGGCGCAAACGACGCGCAGGGTTCCGCTGCCGGGAACAACGCGGTAAGTTGAACGTCCAGCATGATCGCCATTGTCGGTTCTGACGGCGGTATTGTAGACCAGCGGCGATGCCCAGTCGTCATTGACTCTCCTCCAGAGCCTGGTCGCGACCGGCTTCGAGAACGACGGCCAAGACGTGCCCGCTGCGGGTCAGGTTCCGTCGGCCACCTCGTCCAACAACTTCATCAACTTCTGCGCGACGGTGCCCAACCTGCCCATCACCAACGGCCAGCAAATCAAGACCGGCTCGTGCAACCCCGCGCCGATGGGTGTCATCGCGGCGACGACGAACATGCCCGCGAGCAAGTTCGTGAACCCCAAGAACGGCGCGACGGTCCCCGCGAACCAGAACTTCACGATTCAGATGGCGATCAACCACCTCGAGACCGGCCACTTCGTGAACGCGAACGAGAACTACTTCGCCGCGCCGCAAACTGTGAACGCGCAGGGTGACATCCAGGGCCACTCCCACGTCGTCGTCGAGCAGCTCTCGGCCCTCGACCAGACCACCGTCACCGACCCGAGCAAGTTCGTGTTCTTCAAGGGCCTCAACGACCCCGCCCAGAACGGCGTCCTCTCCGTTGAGGTCGGCGGTGGTCTCCCCGCCGGTGCCTACCGCTTGGCGTCCATCAACTCCGCGGCAAACCACCAGCCCGTCCTCGTCGCCATCGCGCAGCACGGTTCCTTGGACGACATGGTCTAGTAAGTCCCATCTGTCATTGAGGCGAGGTGATGATGCTCATTGCGCTCCTATCAGCTTCACCGTCCAGTAGACGATTCTCCTCACGACTTCATATCTATCGTATTTATTAAGGATGCCAACGGATGTGATGGGATACCCCGGTCTGGTGTTTCATTACTTGTATCCGTAGACACTGTTGTCTCAAGAATGTCGATGTTCTCTACCCGCCCTGTCTTTGTGTTGTTTAAGCGCAATGCTACGTCGGCAGGATTCATAAGCTACGGCGTGAATTATGCGGTTGATCTGTAAGTATAAAGTGATCCCGCTGATGGTTCGATGTCCTAAGAGGGTTCATGCTCGTTATATAAATGTACGATATTATTATGCCAAAGCAGTCAAATAACTTCAAACATACAATGACCCTACGACAGCGATTCGTACCGCTTAACACGTCTCCATAATCCAGAGTGTTGAATGCTGCGATCACAAGGGGGGTAACGGCCGACGACACTGCGGACAAATGTTCTAGGCAAAAATACGTGAGCAGCATCACCTGCGCGAGCAACGGATCGCGCTCACCTTGATCGCGAGCCACTGCACAAGGCCAGCCTGTCAGTACAGTGCTCTCCATCAAACAAAAGACGGCACTCACCCTTTCCAAGCATGCGGTGTGCTGACGAGCCATCAGCGACCGCTCCACAGGATATCGATTCAAAGCGACTCACGAAGAGATGGTGACACGGCGCAAGGCTGTACGTCTTGCGCGCGGCGCCGACTTTGCCTAGTAACCCTCCTGCGCGGCTGACTACAGGCCTTTCCTTCCCGTCGCTCGACTTGGACCGCCGCAGGGAGGGGTCAACGAGGATGGCGTCCATGCAAATCGCGCAATCACCGAGCGTCTGTTCGGGCGCCTCGGGGTCGGGCAGCGGAAGCGAGGGGTGGTAGTCGTATGTTTGCACGCGGGACATCTGCGCAGCGGAAAGTACACGTCATTGTAAACACGGAAGAACACAACATCCTGGCATGCCACTGCCGAACGATGGTGAGGGAACTTACCCGTTTCGGCAGGAAGAAGGCCGGGTGGACATGCTCTTGCAGGAGGATAACTAACACCTGCACAAACATAAACAACGCCACAGCGTAGATCCATCCTGTGCAACAACACCAAAGAAAACGTTGACGTGATCGGCCAGGGGGATCGGCCAGTGTGGTTTGTGTACGCACCTCGGGGTTCGACGTCGAGGATGTTCTTCGGGCATCCGAGGAAATCTTGATGGGCGTCAGTGAGGACGGCATCATTGTGGCGACCGAGCACTTACAGCAAGCGAAAAACAGCCGGCCCAGCGTTGTCCCCACAAGATACTCGGTGGTGAGTCCGCTACCCCGCGTGCGCCGTGCGGAACGATATATCTGTGTCGTCCACATACAAGAGTAGAGTGAAGCGATGAAGAGCAACGGTAGTGATAGCGCGATGACAATGCGGAATACGACGATGAGCGAGAGCGATAAAATCGTCCCTAGAATGCACAGAGTCAGTAGAAGGTTTGAGGTGCCCAGAATATGCGTACAGAGGCGAGCTGCGGGATCAGTCCTAATGTGTGTCCACAAGAATTGCAAGAAGGATGGTCGAGTCGGAAGTATTGGCTGCGCAGGGGGTGTGACTGTCGCTGTGGTGGGGGCAGCTTGAGTACTGGCGACGTCGGCTGTTGCGGCGTCAGTGACGGGCTCCTGCGGAACTAGAGGGACTGGAGGGACTGGAGGAGCTGGCGGAGGACTCGGCACTGTGGGTTGCGAAGGACCATCCTCTGGAGCTTGAAGTTGCCCAATGAGGACCGCCATTTGCTACATTCGATCATTAAGACAAAGAGGGACACTCGATGAAATCACCAAGCTCACTGCTTCATAAACAAATAATAAACAGGCGAGGCCTGCTGGAGCGAGCACAGAAAGTGATGGACGCCCTTCGGCCAAAATCCCGAGCGTGATATGCTGCGACACAATTAGGGGCTAGACACAGTGATAACAGACGCGGAACGCACTCCAATGAACGATATAGCATCTATGAGGCTTTGAATCAGGAAGGTATAGCGGGAGACACGAGAGAGGCCGATAGCGGAGCTACTCTGCGCTGCTTGTTTGCGGAAAAGTGCGAGCAGGACGAGGTTGACTACAGTTGCAACGCCAGAGTCTGTCCGAGGAGTCAGCATTTACACTAGAACTTAGTATAAACGATATACATGTAGTTATCTTCCTGTATAGCCTCTGGGACCTGTAACGGAGGTTAACCCAAACGAATATATGAAGTAAGCATTAGACGTACTGGACCCCGATGGTGTGCTTGATCTCGTAAAGAATACCACAACTTTGACTCAGCAATACGCCCTGGAGTGCCAGCTCGGGAGCTTTGGCGACGTTGATGCCCGTAGGTTCGTCAATCTCCTTCTCGAGTTCTTCCATCATCTCCTTTGGAACGTCGGTCCCCTCGAGCTGTGCAAACAACCTGAACGAACATCTGGTCCTCGGAGTGTCTTCAGACTCGGACGCGTCTTGGTCGAACGCTCCTGACTCGATCTTGTCTTTCAGCCTGGAGATGCGGGTTGTGAGCTCGGCCTCCACCGCCCGCGCGCTTTCGTTGCGCAGATTCTCCGGTACAAGTGCAGGGAGGGTTCGCAGGTCCATTCCGCGTCTATTCCAGGGCGTCACTGACAAGCCGAGATTATGCAACGATGAACGAGCCTTACCCGGTATTCTCAGCCATCGCATATACCGAGCCTGTGGATAGAACATGAATGCCCTCAAAGTCAAGTCGAAGTTCCTCTGAGCTATCTGGTTCGGACAGGTCGATCTTTCCCTACATTGGACAGTTAATGGCTACACGTAAGCGTCCATAAAAGTCGGGCATACGTGTATGATAGCGACGTTGTGTCGCTCAGAGCCGCCGTGCTCGTAGGTGATCAATTTATCACCCATGCTGAGCGAAAGTTTGTTCGATCTTGTCCAGTTCCATGGGCCAAGAAGATCCGGTACAGTGGTGAGATTTACGGGTAGCATAAACTGCTCCGAGAGATGCATCCACGAAGACGTGGCTTCGGAGACGTTAAGCGAAGTGAGATTGTGTGATTGTACCTCTCCATGCCAAAAGCCAGTCATGTTGGAGTAGTACGACCCGCGGTGGGGTTCAATCTCAGACCCGAAAGTCATAAACGCCCTGACTAGTGGCGTCATATTTGGGTCTTCTGCGGGCTACATAACATTGTTCAATGAGCTTCTATGGTTTATGAGTGGGTCCAGACTGACAAGAGTGAAGTTCGATTGTGTGCCGTTCAACCAAGCAGTGTAGTTGGAAAGCTGGAAGCGTAACGACTGTAACCCGTTGAGATACTGATCCCGAGTGTTGGACACTTCATCTCCGCGGCCGCTAGTGAGCATAAACAAGACGAAGGTGATGAAGAGGAACGAGGGCAGCGAGCTTCGCTGTGGCTGGGGCAGTGTGTCGGGTGCACCACTCTCCAAGTCCGGCGGCTGTTCATTTGGCGTACTCATGATACCGCTTTGGTTCTATGGTCTAGCATCTACACCATGAAGATTGAGAGCTGCCCGGGGCGAAACCTGGAAGAAGGCGTGGCGGTCGGTCGTAGAGGAGATATATAGTGTGCAAGTGGCGCCAACGCATGAACTGTACTGATGGCACAGCCTGCTGCTAATTTATCTATATATGCTGCGTACAGGAACTTTTTAAGGCCTGGTGGTCTAGTAGTATGATTCCTTCTTAGGGCACTTGCAATCTGGAGGAGGTCCCGGGTTCAATTCCCGGCCAGGCCCTATGTTTTGCCGTAACACATCGTTCTTGATTATCCCCTGCGGAATGTTCCATTAATGCAGTGTGCGCCGCATAGCTTGTTTTGCTTCTTAACTACGACATATAGTACTGTGGCACGCATACCAGATGCTTATACGTAGACATATACCAGGCTGGGACTGGCACCGCCAGCGCCACGTACGGAGAGAATGAGCGTCTTACATTCGGAAGACTTGAATCCCCCGCGTGTATGCCATATAGTGGACGTGCACGGGTTACTGGTCAACGTGGTCCCCCGGGGTGCGGTACAAGTGTGTTAAGGAATGATAGATTCTACGAGACAGTAGATCGCGGCAGGAGTCGTGGTACTAAGGCGCTAGTGGTGCATCCAGATGTTCGTGTATGCCTGCGTATCGTTATGCACTGCGAAGCCTGGAGTCACAACCTGCAGCGCTAATCATGCTCTGATGAGGTCGGCAGCCCCATCCCACCGTGGTTCGATGATACAGTCGAACTCCTTCGGGTGGCTTCCAGACGATATCCATAAGCATTAGTCGATGCTTCAGGTGCCCAGTGAAAACGAGCTCACGCTATAATGAGGCCTGTCTCCACTCTCGGCTCGAGCTTAACCGGATGTCCGTTTGCGTCTAACGGCGGCGAGATCTTGAATGCGTGGAGAGTTGAGGCACAGGCAAGAAAGAGCGAGGTCTCCGCAAGGTGACGGCCTGGACAGATTCTACTCCAACCTGGTTAGAGCGTTCACGTCGTACCTAGGTAAAGAAAACTTACCTTCTTCCGAGTCCGAAGATGTATGACGACGGGTCTCGGGCGCCCGGATAGCACTTGCCATCTTTGAAGAAACGTTCTGGGTCGAATGTCTCGGGGTCGGGATAATATCTGGGATCGCGGGAGAACGCCCTGACATTCAAGGTGAGCCTGTGTATGCGAAACTGAACTAGAGCCAGCAGCTCGCCGTCCCTACCACAGGTTTGCGATCACGACCGACCCTTTGGGGATGAAATACCCATCATACACATCGTCTTCCAGGCAGGAATGAGGAAGCCCTATAGGCGCAACGACGTTCCAACGGGTGAGCTCTTTCACAACTGCGTTGATGTACGGAAGTCCATCGCGGTCATCAAGGTTGGGTAGACGTGATCGCCCAACGACTGCGTCAAGCTCGGCTTGGGCTTTTCTTTGAACATCCGGGGTCATGGCCATTGCCAAGAAAAAAGCCCGCAAAGAGGCTACAGTCTACGGCATGAGGTCAGCATGTACATGAGAGGTGGAGTTGTATCAGTGGCAACATATGGCTCACCGTGTCAGAACCGGCTATTATAAAGGAATTATCAGCGCTTCGTCGAACATCTGAGGGTGAGACATGTCGATGAGAAATGGGCCGTACATACCGATGTAGACAGATAGAAGAGCACCGATGATACAAGTCTCGTCTTCCTTAGTAGCTATACCATCCAGCTGAAGGTTGCCGAAGCGGCGTAGCATGGAGGCTAGCATACTATGGTCGCCACCGAGTTCCGGGTCGGAATCCTAATCGAATGACAATTAGTAGTACACATACCACTAGTAGTCGGAGAGCTTACCAGGAGACTCTTGCCATGTTCATAGAGCAAGTGTTTGGCGTGCGACATCTTCTCACGCACGTAGGTCGCATCTCGCCTGAACTCGGTGCCGGGGAACCAGCTCGGTAAGTACCTCAGGACTGGTAGAATCTCCACGAGGTATTTGCCAGGGATGATGGCGGCTTCTAACACCTTCATCGCATTACGCAGCATCTCTGCATAGTGATCGTCATCCCTCGCGATTTTGATGCCGTAGCCCAAGCTGAGCACGGACGCTGCAAACAGGCTTTGCCCGTCGGATATCAGTACGCAGTACGAAGGATACTAATCATCACCGCACTCCGCACTCACTGATGTATATGGTTCGAGAATCCTTCAGGGGCGTCCAGAAGATTCAAGAGTAGATCATGCGTAGCCTGCTCTATGTGCGGGCGATAACAAGTGTGCACCAAGTTTGACTGCAGGTGCTGGTGGAAGATGCGTCGTTGTTGTCGCCAACCCTGTCCATACCGCATTACGGGGAGATTGAACCCTGCGAGGGCCGTCCTACAGCAGAAGGAGGATCATGAATGCCGCTCACGCTGCATTTTTGCACTACTCACATCTGCACCATAGTCGAGTCCGGTCTATCGGAGTAAATCCGAGCTCTCTTCTCGAGCAGCTCACACGCGACTTCGTAGGAGTCGAGCACAATGACCGCATTGCCTAGCACACTGAGCGAAATGATTTTTCCTGCCATGATGATGTTAATCGTGACTTGACAAACAATAATCGGGTCATTCACCGTATCGGGCCGCTAATTCATGAAATCTTTGAGGGATATTCGTGGTAGGGAAATGGAGCGCATTTCCGATCACTGGTAGACTGGGCGGACCAGGTGGCAGAGATTGACGACCTGTGGGCCTACGACGCCAGATAATCACGAGAAAGAGCACTGCACACAGCCAGAAGATCATCATTCAAGGGTGGATGTGGTCGAAGGGCCGAGAGGGAAATGAACTCACTACGTGGACATATATGCCGTCAAAGTTGTTGTAATCTCATGACCATGAGGACTGGATGCAGTCTACGCACCGCATTTAGCTAAACTATGCGGAGAAGCGACGGGAATACCAGGTCCACTTCTCACGAGCGCCCTACGGCCGTCCTGCAGATGACTTGGCTTTGTATCAGATGAGCAAAGCTTCTTGAAGAATCCCGGTCGTATCGCGAGAAGATTAGTACATTGCATGCTGCGACTTACGCAAGAACACACGAGCGATAGCATACTGGCTGCTAGTTCGGGATGGATGGCGAGGGTTTGACGTGCAAGTGGAGTGCACGTCATGATAACATCAAAGGTCCATGAATGAGTCGTTGCTCTACGCACTGTGAGATCTCAATATTATGTCAGCGTTGTGAACCTATAATTGGTGATGAGACCCGTCACTCCCATAGTGTCGTAGTGGTACACGGATTGTATGATGCTCAGCCAGCAACAGACAGCTGTTAGCACAGATAATGGTCGTATCTGATAGAACGCGACCTGAAGGACAGAGTTTCACTATCAGAATCGGCAAGCATTTCGGGAATGAATCGGGCAGCATACAATAGTATTATGACCTTTGATGTCTAATGCAGAGTGTGTCGCTGGAAGCTGGGCGCGTTGGATGACGCGGAAAGCACATCCTGCAGTTTGAAGGCATCAATAACAGGCCCCACGGGCCATCGCATGGGCGCAGCCTGTCTATCGACGGTAGACGCTGCAGGTGATATGACGTCTGCGGAAAAAACTGTTAACAAGACAGCCGCAACCAAAGCAAGGAAACGGCTCTGGAGACTCACCACGGGTACGTTTACGGATGTCCTACAATCTCCTCGTCCCGGGAGCATCAGAGGAGAGACGGAAATATAGTCATGATCATCGGCAGGGTATGATACGTATGGTATAGTACATATGTGTGGACAAGAAACATGCAAGGACCCTTCGAACTTCATCTGCCCCCAAGAAGGCTTGCTAAAAGCCCTCCTCGAAGTCGTCCGGGTCAGCTAAACCGCCCTCAAACCTCACCTCTTGCATATCTACCTCGCTCCCTCCTTCGCTCATCTCGATGTCGACATCGTCTTCGGCGGGCACGTCAGCTGGGTCGCGGACGGATGTCGTCGATGTTGACGATGTCGCGATAGACGTGGGCTCCGGCTCGGGGTCTAGGAACGCCAGACATCCGTGCCCACATCCTCGCCACCGGACAGGGACGCCGACACCGCCAACGCCCTCGCCACCGACGCGCACACCAGCGACGACCTCCTCCCACGTAAAGCGCTCCTCTGCAGGACGCACGAACACCGGTGTCCTTGTTTGGCCGCAGTGGGCCGGGGAGGGACAGACGCTGATTGACGGCTCGTCTTCATCGGCATGTGACGTTCGTCCGAAGGAGTGGATAGAATGGTTTGGGTAGGGGGCCCCGAAAACGTCGTTGTCATGCATCTGCGACGAATGCACGTCTTGCTGACCTTCATCTCGTCTGACCTTCGCTGGGCCGGACAGATGATTTATTGTTGGTGGTTTGGCGACGGCGGCAGGAACGCACGCGCGGAACGTCGCCAAGACGGCGGGTCCAAGTCCGAGGTCTTCAGTGAGCGGAAGCGCATATGCGGCTTCCAAGAGGGTGAGCGGGCGAGGGGGGCGTGGGCATTCCGCAGCATGCGCAGAGTTCGTCGTTGTCATCTCGCCCGGTTCAAGGGGGTGGAGGATAGAAGTGGACGCGGTAGCAGGCGTTGTTGAGGGACATGCTGGCATGTAGGAAGACGATTGTGTGGAATATGGAGCAAAAAGGACACGGAAACACAGTTCCGTGAGTGGGGGAATTGTAAAGTGCACGGTTGTAAGAGAGACAGGGCCCCAGCGTCGTTCGACCGATGAGTCACTGCGCGTCGGGGGGCGGGGTCGTGAGGAGTTGGCCGTAGATATGGGCGGAGGAAGCCATGGATTGCCTGTAACGACCAGTTTCACAAGACGCATGTTTAGCATCTCCGCTGGTATCCAACGAATATTATTCTGGGCAATGTTAAGCTCCTGTAGTGATGTGAGTTGCGAGATTTGTGGAGGAATGGTGGTAAGGGCGTTCGATCCTGTGAGAACGAATCAGATGCAGTCCTTTGATGAGCGTTGGAAGCAGTCAGTTCACACTTACGTAGACTGAGGACGGTCAGCGATGAGACACGGAATACCTCAGAGGGTATGCGGTGGATAGTATTGTTAGCTAAGAATAATTTGATATCGCGTCGCTTGAGCGAGGTGGAACTAGGTTGTGGCACAGATTGGAGGGACGCGGCCCGTGCGGCTGGCGTGCCCCATATTCGTTCACCGTCTTTTGACCGGAGGAAGAACTCATTGAATGCGCCGGCTGGAAGCGTCGTGGCTCGGGTAAATGCACGTGATGTAGAACTCGAGAGGTACGGGA